TTTAAACGAACTTTAATTTATATAAAGGAACTCAATGTACATAATACGATTACGATAAATAACATACATAACTTTACGTTAATAACTCGTTACTACAAGAAATATTGTCATCCTCTCTTTACAACAAATAGACTTAATAATTTTGTCTCAATGAATTCTTTCCCAAATTTTATCCACTTTCCTCCATAATCAAGCAGGACAAGAAACAATACGTTAAAACTTATAATATTTTATTATTCTTAGTCACTTCAAATAACAATAATCAAACTTTCATAACCCAACTTCCATCTCATGATTTCCCATCAATGTACTTCCATAATTTGACTATGATCATCTCATTATCTTTTCCTCAAATCTTTCTTGAACTCTGACATCATTAATATCAACACGATTGATTTTGTTGCCAAACAATGAAGTATATTTCTTTTAACATCAATATACTATGTACTCTATAAAAACTCAATATCTATAAATTCACGAAATCTTTTCACAAAATCCTATCTCCTTATAAACAATGACAAAAATTGTGATCAAACCCTTTATTCCAATAAAACGACTTCCTTATACTTCTTATTCACAACCTTTCAATTAAAGTAAACTATTTTCGAATTTTCAACTTTCAACAATACCATAAAAAGTCATTACCACAATTCTCATTACAATATAAAGACTTCTCGACTTCAAATGTAAAATGATCATAACTTAGTATAAATATATATCCATAATATTCTTTATCTTTACAGAATGTAACTTGATTCCACCAGTTACTATCAAAGTATCAAACCTTTAATTTTCATTTCTAACATGTAATATATACTCCCTTCTCCAACCTTACTAGATTTTCAAAACTTGCGGGAAACTTTAAAATTAGTTCTATTCCCAACATAATTTTCAATTCATCCAACCCAAATATGGTAGATACATACTTCTCGATCTCAACATCATATAATTTCACTCAACATTAAAATCAACCAAAATTGGACACCAATATACTTTGTATGATTCAAATTAGACATGTGTCTATCACAAAGCCAATTATGCCATACAAGGTCATAAAAAAAAATTAAATTAATCATTACACACTCTTAATAATTTTCCATAAATGGTTAAATAACACAACTTGCACTAGAACTCATGTATAAACCATGATTCAACTTGCTTGAATCTCACAACTAATGTTTCACAATTTGAAAATGCATTTAGTCCATGTAAGGAATATACAATAATTCATAGGTTTCTACTTATAACCATGCAAAGAAATAATAATTATATATTTTCATATTCAGTTAAATCCATGAAAGGAGTAATATAATTCATAACTATATCCATGCTTCCATTTTCCGGGTAAGGAACTGAAATAATTATTCCATGTAAGGAAATAAATCATCAATATCTCTAATGAACCAATTCCAACATTAGGAATAATTGCTCAGCAACCACTTCACCAATATATCATGCAATAAATAAATTCCCAAATATGCAAAAGTTTATTAACTTTCCTTCATAAATGAATGAATTCGAACCCCAAGCACTATAATTCGGAACTCACATCTTTATAGCATAATCTGGACTTTTTTTGTCCATATGCACAAAATTCACATAAATTTCAAAATAATTTGAAATTAATTATAAATTCCACTTTAATTTTGAATATATATATATATATATATATATATATATATATATATATATATATATATATATATATATATTCAAGATATAATACCTAATTCACGATATAATAGATTAGTTGGGTCTGTGAGATCCCAGGTAGGAGAGGTTAGGAACGACGTTGTCTAGAGCCCAAGTCCCGCTTTAGACAGAGCTCACTAACAATCCAACATATCCATAATAAATATAGAAAGTAGTTTTTATACAAATTAAGTTTCAAGAAAACAATATAGAATGCGAAACTCTATCGTATATGCCCATCTTAAGTCTACCCATCAATTTTATTTTCACTTTTTATCTTATTTTAACCCGGAAAACTGATACCATTTTGTAACACCCCCAAATTACTCTCCAATAATAATGATTACAAAGCCTGATTAAGAGAGTAACTTGAGAGCATTACCACCACGTGATTACGTAAGGCTTTTCAAAAACAGAGACTTGCAGCGGAGAAAATACATACTTAACCTTTATATTGATAATAATAGTAATAGTAATAGTAGATTTCAAAATTGAACCATATGAGAATTTTTCATACAAAACGTCAACCATGAGACCTAGACTACATGATTATCGCCCTTCATCCCCAATTCCATATTAGATCACGTCGAGTCATCATCACCTATCTACTTTAATGATAAGTAGGGTCAAGCCAAAACAAAGGAGAAATACGTATTAGCAAAACGCTAAGTACATACCAATGCTAGATACGTAAAATCAAGTTATTTAATTACACATGCTTTCGTAAGATTAGCATTTATAAATAGCATTTATTCAAACCTTCCATAAATAGAAACTTCACATTAAGAAACGTTTAGAAACATTTCAAAAATTATCAACATTTCAAAACCAACGACTTTCCCAAAATAGATTCCAATAGAAATGGAAGATCAATATTTTCGTAAACCATTTTTCCACCTTAGTGTGCACACCCCCCAAGATAGTAACTCCTTACATAGTGCTATCAAGGGGAAAGACTAGGTCATACATAGTCCATAGTCTTCAATTTTATCTCCACATAGTGGGAGTCATAAAAATCCAATATATATCTTTGATAAATCAACCTTCCAATTCCCATGTATGGGATTTCAACAACATTTGCTCTTTAAAATGAATTTGAATTCAAGTATGTGTATAAAAAACTTTTAGAACATTGAGATTATATATTTCCAAAGATCAAACAGTAAAATATTTCACAATATTCATTTCATAAACATTCATAAATCCTTATTCAACCTTCAAACATATTTCATCATTCAAAACACAAAACACATTTGTATAAAATCACATATTTAAAGTTCTAGCCACGAGTACGTACCTTGATCTTTACAACTATTCCACCTAGATTTATAACCACGGACTATCTCCTAAATAAACATTATATGGAGTATTTTAAATAAGAACAAATATGAAACCTTACAAAAATCATAAATTGAGATATTAGTTTTGAAAGACTAACCGCAAAACAATATAAACTAGCAAAGCTCACGGGAAAGTTCACGTTGAAAAGGAGGAGTCATATCTTGCAGAGGCCATATCTCATAGTATATAACTCCGAATTGGGCGATTCTTGAGCCTATCCTCAAGGATTGTTTGAGAAGAACAACTTTGTCTCAAACAGCAAAAGGCTAAAAATGAACAGAAGTAGCTGACAAATGGCCTGGAACATATACGGGATGAAGAAGTATGAAAATGGGAGGAAGAGAGAAGAAAGAAGGATGGAAATTTAAGGGCAAGAGACTTTTGGCTTAAAATGGCTGAACTTTGGGTCTTATTTATAGAGTTTGAGAGTCCTATTGACATCATGTATGATGTCAACAACTTGGGGATCAAGGAAGTTTATGAGGTCATGTTATTGACATCATGTATGATGTCAACAACTTGGGGGCCAAGTATTCAAGTTTGTAAGAGAAGTTTGTGACTTTGGTCATGCTTTAGGAGTAAGAAATGGACTTAGGTCCTTTGGAAAAGAAATCTCTAGGTAGAAAAAATCTTATTTTCGGCTACTAAATTCCCGGCTTGCATATCAAAATCTTTTATAATACATAATTTTAACCGAATGATTTTCGTAAATAAAACTAAATAAAATTCTTTTAATTTGTGTCATTTTAAAACATAATAATATGTATTAATAAATTATGACGTATTCAAGTCAAAACATAATTAATATTTTATAAAACGAGTTTAAAAATACGGGGTATTACAGAGCCACCGCAAGATGGATGTCTCAGCAAAGAGAGGAAAGAAGTATGGGCTAGGCCTACAAGAAAAAGCCAATTTAACGACTGATATTTGCAACTATCCTAATATTCAGTCCCAAAAAATATTTTTGCAACTGAAAAGGACGGGTAGTTGCAAATTTTGCGACTGATTTTGTTGTAGTTGCTATGGGGTCGCAAATTTGCGACTCATATTTAAATCTACCCTAATTTTCAGTCGCAAAAAAATATTTTTGCAACTGAAAAAGACTAGTAGTAGCAAATTTTGCAACTAATTTTACATTAGTTGCAATGCGGTCGCTAATTTACGACTCATATTCGCGACTACCCTAATATTTAGTTGCAAATAAAAAAAATTGCAACTACTATTTGCGAGTAATATAATATTCAGTCGCAAAAAAAATTTTGCAGCTGAAAGAGATTGAAATATTCATTCGTTCGATACTAATTGTGATGTTCATCCTTTTCAAAAAAATATATGGCCTGGTTGTTATTTCAGCTCATTCTACATTCCATTTGGTGTTTGAAAATAGGCAATTTGATAATTTTCTTAAATATGACGAAGTTATGGTTTTGTATCCCACGGTGAAAGTGTTATCAGTCTACTATGGTTCTGTTTCGTAATTAGCGGTTAGTTGATTGACAAGAGCTGGTTGCATTAGCTGCTTTGACTAGCTGATTTATATGAGCTTTTTATGTAGAGTTGTTGGGTAAACTTATCTTATTATTTGTAGTTGCTTGATAGTTGAACATATGAAATGACAATTTAGGACATTGATAATATTTTTTTTACTTGATTAGGGTAAGAAATCGTGAGGGCAAGAATGTGAATTAGAGTAACTTTTAGGATAAAATTGTCTTTTGACATTCATTACTCAATAACCTAATCTTTTTTTAATTAGCTTTTTACAAATTAGCTTATTTGCCTCAATAAGCTTATTTAAAAAGCTCTTTTACCAAACAAACAAATTAGATGATTTATGTAGTGATTGTAGTCAAACCTCTAACTTAATTGGTCAAATAAGCTCATTTGTTGTCAAAACTCTAATTACCAAACATGGCCATAATCTAGGAGCTTGTTTGCCTTAGTTAGGGTAAAATTAGTTCAACGAGAGTATGTAATTACCCTCTTCATTTGCCCATTGCTTACAGTGTAGAGTCTGTAGACAAAAAATTGAAATATGCACTATTTTAGCTTGTTGCCGTTCAAACCCCAAAAACCCAGCAAAATTAACTATTCAAACCCCAATCAATTCGACCTCATAACCCAAAAAATTCAACTCGCAACCGAAATCCCCAGCAATTTTGACCCCAATCCTCCCTAACTCGAGCAATCCGAGAAGAAATTCCCCATTCTCGAGCAAAAATCAAAACCAAAACCCCCAGAAATTTCAAACCCGTTCAAAACCCCAAAACCCCAGCAATTTTCGACCCCAATCCAACAACTTCGACTCCCAAAACCCAACAAATTCGATCAACAACTGAAAACCCCCATTTCTCTCTCTTCCTCTCTCATCTGCTCACTTTCTCCATCACTCTACCTCCGCCACCGTTGTCGTCGCTCATGTCGCCAGATTCATTGAACTCCGGCGCCGATTCCTATACATGTAAGGTCCTTTCTATTTTAACTATTTTCGCTTATTCCAATTCTCACTAGAATCAATTCCTTGTTAACCGATTCCTCTATATTGCTTGTTTTTTTGCTATATTAGATCAATTTGTTGATTTTTATTTGGGCTTGCTGATGAATTTTGCCCATTTATTGATTCAATGTCAAAATTTGCGTTTTTATTTTTTATTTTTTTATTATTCGTATAAATCTGCATGATTTTGGTTGTTTTTTTTGTTATATATTTTGGTTGGGTTTGATGATAGGAATTTGATTGAAATTCAATTGAAGTGACAGAAATTTGAAATTATTGGTGAAATTTTGGGGCTTTTGTGTGTGTTTGTAATCACCATTGCATTATTAGTGTTGCTGAGAGATTTGTATCTGTAATTACAATTTCAGTATTACTACTCTCATGTTCCTTACAAACAACCGAAAGAAGATGTAATATGCATTATACTTAGGCTAAATAATACCCTAAGAAACAACTGGAGATGTAATTTGTCTAACTATTTTATGCTCTTTGGTTCTTTATTATGGTGTTATCACCTCCAAATGAGTGTAGCTTCATTATTTTTTGGTTTTATTTTTGAAGTGGTTCCATATTCCAACTTTGAAGATTTGTTATTGAGCAAAAATTGAATGAGAATGTTAGACTGTGGGAACTATGTCATTTACTGATGTAGAAAGGATGCTCATGCTATAACTTTCTCATTTAAGATATTAGGATTTGCTGTTAGGATTTTGGAGATTTATTGTTATGTTTTGGAATTTGAAGTGTTAGAGGACTAAATGATATGTACATATGTTAATATTAAGCTTAAGCACAAACAAACATTGCTTATTGTCTAAAATGTGATCAATATTCATTACATTTGCAGAACACGCTCATATTCTTCAAGCACAAGAGGAGACTAATCTCCATTTTTCATGCGTTGCTCTGCTCTTCTATTTGGATCAAATTAGTTTAAATATTCGTTTCCTCTTCTTTCTGTTTCTAACATGGTTCTTTATTGGACTAAGAAAAATATATATTACATATTATGCTTCTATATATATTGTTTAATGCTGAAAAAAGGTGCAGATGGGCTAGTTCATACCTTTGACAGGTTGAATGCTCTGCTACTTACTCTATGGGATCAGAATTCTGAATTCTGCCATATTTTGTCTTTCTTTAACTTTGCTCTCTTTTGCTACTCTATCTTTTTTATTGCTTGTTCAGCTTCAAAATATACAATATGCATGTGAACTGATATTCCATCTTTTCTTTCATATTGTAATCTATATTAAATATTCGCTCTCTGTTAGGGTTTTATTTTTTGTTAAACTCTCTGTTAGGTGAATAACTAAGTTTTGTTAGGTGAATAACTAAGTTTCATTACTGACTCCCAATCAGCTTATATAGCAAAGAAGCACCTCAGGAACGTCGACAAGGTTAGCCGCAAAATATATACTTTACCTTAGTTTCCTATCTCTGGTTAATTTAGTTATGATAAGAAGGATTTGGAATCTTTTGTATCTAAAACATTTCTTAGTTTTGTTTACAAAAGACTTGTAAAGTTTGATCATTATTGTTAGTCCTTGCATTGCTATGAATCTCCCCAAGCTTGCAAGGGGGTCTTGATGAGTTTAAGCATGTCTCTTCATGTATATTTTAATCATCTAGATAGCGCTATTATACTTCATCTAAAATTTAATGCTATTCATTTATGTCTTGGCTTTTAAACTGGTCTTCTTGTGTATTCTCTTGACAAATTTTAATCAAGGTACTTATTTGGTTTTCATTCTTGCAGACCTGTTGCTGATACATTGAAGCCATTTATGTTGTTGCTGCTGCTATTGTTAAATGTTCTTATTAATGCTAATCCCAACTTTGTACAATTAAAATACTTTCTGTTGGGTTAAAATTGTAATATTTATTACAATAATTATTATTGAAAATATTTAAGTTAATATACGTATGTGTATCTGTTTCAATTTAGAGGGAAAGAAAACCATTTTTTTAATGGGAACATATTAGGCTATGTTTCAAGTAAGAAATGGCGCCTTCCATCATATTTGACACCAAGCATTAAGGTACTTGTATTAGCAACTAATTGGTTAGTAGCAAAAAATTGATCTTGGTAGTTGCTAATCAATCATAAAAATATTTGTCTCCTTAGTCGCTAATCTGTCGCAAAATATTAGTCTCGGTAGTCTTAAAAATTTGGTCAAAGTAGTTTTTAATCCATCGCTAATATTTTGTGATGGACAATGAATTCGTTGCTAAAATCTTATAGTTAGTCATTAAATGATAGTTGCAAATTAGTCGCTAATATTTTGCGATGGACAATGATTCAGTTGCTAAAATTTTAAAGTTAGTTACTAAATTGCAGTTGCAAAGTCATTGCAAATTCGTCGCTAAATTTGTGACTATACCAAAATTAGTCGCAAAAATGGATTTGCGATGAGGTCTTTAGCAACTAACCAAAGTAGTTGCAAATCCGTCGCAAATCCATTTTTGTGACGGATTTGCGACTAATTTGACCGTCGCTAATTCCCCTTTTTCTTGTAGTGAGGGTCTATAGTGCAAGGCATAGACCCGGGATGCCACTTCAAGCCCATGTGCAAATGATGACAAGGTTATTTAACCATCTGGAACTGTTTGGTAGACCGGTGGAGGATGAGCAAGCGGCTCATATGCTTTTAAGCTCACTCCACTCGGGGTACTGTAGACACCCAAATGTGTCTCCCCAAAACCAACCCAGTAATGAATACCTGTCATGTAATTTGATTATCGAATGAGGCAAAAGTGTGAAAAGTCTGGTGATGAGGATATTTTTATTAAAATATCTCTTCTTTCTATTTTTAAAAATATTTCATTTCTTACCCTATTTATGAAAAACATGCATTCCAGTTTAGTTTGGTCCATGATAAGGGTCCAATAATAGTGTATTTAATAAGGGCTCGAAAAGAGTTTTCCAACGATATATTATAAGCCCAATTCCGATGAATAATGAGAAAGTTAGGGCCAAAATACTAAATTGGGCCCGGTTTGGTTCTTACATACGACCCAAAAATCTAGAGGAGGGCCTATTATTAATTATCATTACTAAAGCTATTAGGATTGATTATAGTCTTCTAGAATACTTAGAAGGTTCTTTTAAATCCTAATGGAGTTAGGATTGATAATTATGTTTTAAAGAGTTTGAAATTGAATAAAACTACTCCTTTTGAGAATCCTTGTTTTGTACGAAATGGGATATATTCAAATATTATTTCGTGCCTCGTAATCTTTATTTAAATCTTATATAGTTGTATATATCTTGAAATCATCTTTCCACTGATATATTATAATATTAAATCTGAGCTATAACGGAAAAGATATGAATGGAATATGAAACTATATCCAAAACTGACACCCTTCCACTATTTCGGCCATATCTTTTTATATACAAAAGCTTTTAATCTGTATCTAATTGGGTTGGAAATTAGAATTCTAGGTCTTTCCAACGACATATTATATGCCTTATTTGGACTTCTGGATCAAAAGATAAGATAAAAACAAAATCAGCAAAACTATCTTGCAGCGCCGGACGACAGGGGCTGTTGTGGCGACATCGACGTGTTTTATTCCTTTGCAAACTCTGATTCTTTTTTTTTTTTTTATCATATCCGGATTGTTTTCATTATAAATAGCGTCCTTATACCTCCGTTTTTAATCATCAACTCTCATCATGAAATTCTTGATATTTCTCTCTCTCTCTCTTTCTAAACCAACTTTTCACAAACAAAATTCCGCATTCACGAGATCTAGACACACCTAGCATAATTCGAAGTTGCCTTCGCCCTAGACGTGAAAGGTTTGCTATTTATGAGGGTTTGGTCCTAAATCTCTATTTCAGTTATTTAATTTAATTGTTTTGATTTATTATTTTCCTTAAAGTTACTAACGTGTGTATTTTTTTATTAGAAAGAGGTACGAGACATCCAAGTAAGTTCTTTAATTGTTTAATTGATATAATTACATAGAAATCATGGTTAGATTGTTATTTTGATTCCTAGTATCATGTTAAGATGTTTTCCCTAGTATCATGTTAGGATGCTTTTCTTAGTATGATGTTTAGGGTAAATTAAGTGCCTTATATCAATTATGATTTCTATGATACTTCCTATTTTCTTTCCTAATATCATGTTAGTATCATGTTAGGGCTAAAGCTTTGATTTTTATGTGTTTAGTTACATGCTAGGGTTTGTTATTAATCTTGTTAGTATCATGCCTAGGATCTTGCTATTTAATATTATGCTTTATTATGATTATTTTTATTTTTATTATGATTATTATTATTATGATTATTATGGCTCTTGATGATATTTATTTATTGCTTGATCACGCCTTTTATGCATGTCTAAAGGTAATTGGTACTTGTAATCATGTTTAATAAGATAATTAATAATATTGTTTAGGGTTAATATGATTATAATTCATGTGATCACCAATAATAGTTATATATGTGCATTAATATTCAACCAACATAGTTAAACAGGTTTAGGGTAAACCTATTCATTGCATGATAATCAAAAAGCGCACATGAATACGAGAAGAATAAAGTAGTGGCATATTTTTAGGGCAAGCTCTTTTTCTTTTAGATTGGATTTGTACCTTCATCCCCAAACTTCCAGTTTTGGTTGCGGACCTATTGGAGTTAACGATCTCTTGGATTGTTAAGGGGTCTAACCTATACCCTGTGAACGGTTTACAAGTTTCTAAAACTTGTTGGCGACTCTTTTGCTCTAGCTTCCTTCCCTTTGGACGCCACCATGCTTAAGTGTATGATCACAGTGGGGTTCAAGTTTGGGGTAATGCTTGAAATATTTCCTACAGTTTTTGACGACTCCACTGTGGAGGATTTGTATTTTAATTCCTAAAATTTATTTTGGCAATTATTTAGAATGAGTGGATGAGACTCGAAAAGTTCTAAGTATTTCATGTGCTTAATTTTGATTAACATTATTGTCATATGCATAAAAAAGGTTCTCATTGGAAAGACCATCCGTAATGAGTAAAAAACATAGGATTTTTTACACGTGGGAAATTTGAGGAATATCTTTCACAACTAGAATCGAAATAATGCTGCGAAAAACTGGAAAATTTTAAGGACACAAACAACTGCTGAGGCATGTAGGAACTGGCGTCTAGAAAACAAAGCCTGTCGCCGAAGATATGGCTTTGTCACCGAGCGACAATTTTGTCGCCAGGGCTCATATCCCGGCGACAGTCCCTATTGGCTGGCGTTGCGTTATTCCAATACCGAGCCAGTAATATGCGTTCTTTTTTTCGACCAGTTCTAGCACTGTTGGCTCGATTCTACTTCCTGATTGAGTTTTTCTCTCTTTTCTGAAACCCATGTGTGTTCTACATATGGACATAACCCTCTGGGAATTCATGCTCCATCTACCTAGATTAAACGCTCTGAGCAACAAAGGATACATTCGAGAATGTTGAATTCACCAAACCATGGAAGCGAGTTTAACTCGCGGGGTCCCATCAACTCGAGCCAACCCTTCCAAAGGTAAGACTTTCGCGCTGTGCATCCGGAATCATAACCATGGACCCTCTTTGACTAACCCATATACCGAAATTTAGAGAACTAGAGCCATGGTTAGGTTGCAAACTCATTGCATCATATTGAACCTACTTGACTATTTGTGCATTATTTGTTGTGCATACCCTATGTGTTTTTCCTAACCATTTCTTTGACTTGTGTTTAAGCCTAAATAAACTAATTAATGACTGAAAGGACTTTTGCCTAATTAATTAATTAATTTGAGTAATTAAAGTTTTAATAAATTAATCAGAACTAACTTAGTAAGACTTTCGACCTGTCTCGTAGGGTAAAAATACTGAAAACAGTCCCAATTTAATGTTCCAGTAATGGCGCAAAAATTTGGGCTACAACGCCAAACCCTGCTGTGCAATGCCGTGCGACAATTTTGTCGTCTAGCGCTGCACTGCAGTGTGCGGCGACAGTCCTGTTGCTTTGGCGACATTTCAGGTTTTTGCTCGAGTCATCACGACGAGTCTAATTAAACAGTTTATTAATCAGTCTTGTTTTTTTGTTAATGGCAGTAACCTTATCTAGTCCTTAATCGAGTCTAAACACTTAGTCCCATGGTCTTACACAAGAGTCAAAACATGTCACTTGCACTCACAAATAAAGCACACACTAATATGTATGTACACTTTGATCATGTTTAGAGAGTCTCGTATGCGCGTGTTTTCCGTCATTTTTTTAGGGGGGTAAGTCGGATATTAATCCTCTAATTAAACCACTTGTTTGAACCCATATACTTGATTCCAAAAAACATGCACCCTATTTTTGATTTTTTTTTTCTTCTTCTTTATAAACTAGTAAAGTCAAAGTCAATTTGAGTCAAGTCAATAAAAAAAATAAAATGGTTTAATTTACAGCGCGTGGTCAACAAGGGAAGGGCGTTTAATCATAGACAACCTTTTCGTTCAAGTACAACTTTTTGATAAACCAGTCAGTCGGAAAAGAAAAGCTAAGAAGGCAATGGCGAGTCAAGAAGAAGTCAATGAGCTCAAGAAGAAAATGGTTGGTGTTACTGAAATGCTAAAGACCTTAACCATCCAAATCAATGACCCTGTGAAGCAACAACAAATGAAGCTTATGCAAGAAAGCTTGAGCAAAATATCCAATGACTATAGATTCTAGGGCATTAGCTCACAAGGGGTCTCAGTGGACAAGAAAATTCTTCCGCAGAAGTTCAATGCTACTGACATCCTTACGTTCAAGGCAACAGACAATCCTTGTTTCCACTTAAGAGCGTTCGAGACCATAATGAACATCAAGGGGATTGATAGGAAAGTCTTTCATTCTTTGTTTTCTTTATCTCTTGAAACCGTTTGTCAACAATGGTTCTTTTCCTTGACAAAGAGATAGCCTCTACTTGGGATGCTATTGTAAACGCTTTCAATTATAGAT